ATTACCACCAGCGATTTTTCCGGGCCGATACGACTTAGGGATCTTCAAGAAACTCCTTTTAAAAGGCTGGCAACGCATCTGCAAATCCGTTGGTTCCCCTGGTGTTGCAGTTGTTCATGGGCGGCGGTAGTCACATACCATCAGGTGCCGCATACTCGTTTGCCACCTCTCCTATAAAAAAAATTAGATATTTATCTATGAAATTCTTATGAAAATTCTATTAATCAAAGTAATCACCCATGCAATCGATGTATTTTTGCCAACGAAATGACAATTTATTGATGCTCTTCTTGAAGAAATAAGCTGGAGGCAACAAATTCTTCAAAGACATTTTAGAAACATTAAATATCCGAAAGGAAGTACCCTTTCGGATATTTAATTTTTTTAAAGATAAAAGTTTAATTTTATAACAAATAAATGTTACAATCCTTATTTTTAGACATGTAAATCCTACATTTTAGTGTATTCAATTAAAAATAATATTTTCTTTCGACTAAAATTGCTTTGAAATAGCGACGTCTTCTTCATTCTATAAGTAAAATAATTTTATAGAAAAAAAATTGATTGACTCTCAAGGTGGTCCGTAAACTAGACACTAGATGGCCTAAACACGGCTAATTTAATATAAATCGGTAATATATTAAATCGTGGATTGTTAAGAAGGATGTGATGTGATGTGGATATGATAATTTTATTCAATATATCTAATTATTTGATAGTAAATTTGTATTTTCTACCGACTGCAAAAAGGAGACGGTACTCAATTCGACTGTATGTTTTTTTTATGTGTGTTACCTCATAACGCTTTTTCTGGGGGTTCAGATCAGTTCAGTTTCAATGATTTTTTTTATTGAAAGCTGGTGCTTCTCACGTCGTCCCAAATAAATTTCATCAAGATTTGACCAATAGCTTTTTAGTTATTCTTAATAATTTATATTGACACCCAAAAATGTACAAAATTTATAGTTTTAAATTATTTTTAATTCGTTATTTTACCACAGAGGGAACCGAGATAATACACTTTTTACTGAACTAGCTGTTCCCCGCGTTATCACCCGCGTATATCACGTTCTGAGCCGTGGGACCTTTTAGTGTTCTTCTTCTTGTCACCCTTCTGAGGACAAGAGGTCTTTGGGTTTCGAGGTAGCCCTCATTACCCGGGCATCATCTCGGGGGAGAACACGGCTCCCTTGGTCCTGAGTGCTTAAAATACAAGAAGGAAATTATTAAAAAAAATAATGTACAATGTTACTCTGTAAAAATGTTACTCTATAATTTATTGTGTGTATTGCCTTACTGCCATACTTGTCAATAAATTTAAAAAAATAAAATGCTCTACATTGCCTTCACCTGTCCACGTGATTATTTGACATTCGATTGTTTGTGGTTACAAATACAAATGTCGTCTTCACAATGTTTACTACGAAAACAAACGAGCAAATATATTTGTGTGAGTTAAAGTCACGTGTTTTGTAACGTAGTAGGTCACAAGGCACAATAATACAATTATACATAGACACTTTGATTTTTACGAAACTAAAAAAAAATTGGTTGAAGTTTTTATTGTAAAGTCTTTTCACAGAACTGTCTACCAGCGTCTATATCAAATTTTCCTGAGTTTGAACCAATTTTCGAAACACTTTTTCCAGTCCGCTTTAGACATCTTTATCTTTATTACGGCCTGCTCGTACGATGTTTGCACACCTTCCGGCGATGAAAACTGTATACCTTTCTGTAAGGAGGTCGATCGAAAAGTTTGATCAGTATGCTGTTCAGGAATTTATGGTGAAGCAGTAACCCGCGGAGCCCCGTGTTCGGTCGCTTGTTGCCCACAGTAGTGAAAACTTCTGGCAAGCATTTCGTATTAACTATCCAGTCTGTGATATGGGTACTGTCACATTTAGGACAACGAATGGGACGCAGCGAGTCCGGAGACGGTCGCGCCGCACTTCCCTCCACACCACCGGGGCCCACCACCTCTGCTCGGACGGCGGTCAAATAACTACTACACAAATTTGCATATAGATGAACAACGTAACTGAAAAAGAACGCAAGCCCTGTGACCGATGAAGCTGTAAAAGCCAAAAAGCGAACAGCACCAGCGTCACCGAAACCAGTCGGGGGCAAAGATCGGTTATGTGGGACTCGCAATCACTAAAACCCTACGGTGATTTTAATAATATGAGGTGACAAACGAGCACCCATAGCAGCCTCTCCTCGGGAGAGGACTTCTCCTCCCTCCTTTTCCTTTTCAGATAAGGTGCTCCAGTAACAGAAGCCTGTCTCCGCAACCTCTAGTTCCACGTGCGCAATGTAACCCCCCCCCCCCTCCCCGAGTCCGATACGCAGAAGCCATAGGCCCAGGAAAAAACAAGCAGTCAGAAGCACCTACTTTCCTGTCTGGAGCTCCACCGCCAACCAAGTTTCGGTCGCGGAGGGTAGGGAGAGCAGCGCTTCGCAATCTCAACATTCTTCTCCCCCCGCGGCCCCACCACCATCGTAGCCAGTGGTGCGGCTCCGCTAGAGTCGCGGAGGATAGAGTGAATAGCGCATTGCTATACCAACATTCCTCTTCCCCCGTGGCTCCACCTCGGCTGCAGCGGTTGGGGGAGAGAACACCGCTCCCGCCACAGTCTATCAACGAGCATACGGAGTGGGATAGGCTAGCCCACTCTGTCCCACACCTCGGGCTAGCCAAGTGAGTTTCTCTTGCGGTGGCTTAATAGCCACGCTTACTAGCCACGGCTAGTAAGCCACCTCGTCACGACAAGGCAGGAACCCGTTCCGGGAGGGGAATTCTTTTTTCTAACCTCAACCAACTCTATCAACGTGTTATTTAATGCATGCAGAGAACCGGAGACTTTTTTACATCCAACAAGGTATTCCATCTTAGTCCTTAGCGGTGAGAATGTGTCTGTACTTTTGATCAATATAAATGTATCATGACTCATAGACTCTGGTAGCGGACTGAACTGGCTTCCATTTATTATCAGGTGGATTGTGTGCTTGTTTGTCACTACTTCTATAAAAAATTACATTCGTACTATGTTCGTACGTATGTAAAGGTACATATAATTAACGTAAAGTTTTCAAAATCGTATCGTATCAGCTTTTTTTAATTTTGTTGTTTGTGAGTTTTGGAAAATATTCGTCAAGAGATGAATTACATGAAAAAGTTTACCGTACGCGTAACACTGTGCAGGTGGATTGGTGAGAACAATCCTTATACGCACATTCCGTTGGAAATCCCGTAGCTGTTTCTTCCAACGCCCTTGGGACTTGAGGTGATACTAATTCATTTGGCAAATTATTGGGAAGGGCACATTTAAAAAAAATTACTACTTCATTTCTGATTATATTATTTCTTTTGTTTGAATGAAAAAATTCATCAGCTCAATGTGGACAAAAAAAAATCGATAAATAAGTGAATAACGTTTGAAAATTTTTATGCAAATGTTGGGTTAGATTTTTTGGAACGAAGTTCCTTACGGTACGAGTTAGGCACATGGGAGCTAGGCGACAAAAAGTGTAAGATTTTTGCGTCACTACCCCTTGTGTCATAGTGTATTTTATTATAAATGACGCTTCATTTTAATAGACGATAGTAATACATTTATTTGTATTTGTTAATCAATAATATAATACGTTTATCAGTTTATCAATAATAAGGAACTTCGTTCCAACCGAGTATTATACGACGCTCACGCATGTTTTTGTATTGGGGGCATTGTAGCACGCTTTGTTTACTGACCAGCGGCGCCCTATAACGTGACCAACATTATGATTGACGTGCCTCGTTTAATTCAATATCAATCAGCATTTATGACAGGAAGGTTCCATAATTTTTTGCTGAGTGGCCAAAGATGTATGTGGTCTGGCGTTATCATGATTAAAGATATCTCCTTTTCTATTAATCAATTTCAGTCATTTTTTTTCTTTCATTTTCTTGCTTGAGTCTCAATAATGTCTGAAATTTTAAATAAAATGTGTAGTTACAAACACAATACCTACGAAATACTATCAGCGATGCCTTTATAAACTACAGATTTAATAGAACGTTACATCCGTTCGAAAAAGGACGGAGTTATTCTATAGTAGCGCTTGATGAAGTTTAACTTTAAAACTAATAAGAACAAAATTGTGGTAGTCACGCTCATTGCCACCACGTTATTTATCAATTTATCAACATTCATTCACCAGCTGACGCCACACTATACAAAGTCAGGTGACTGCATTGCATATTGTAACCAAACGATGGTAATGACTAAAGCGACTGTCTGTTGTGTTCTAGCAAATATGCAATACATTATCATACACGTAAATGAACACAATGAGACAGCGTATTGATAATTAATAATGTAAAGGTGCAAGGTGCAAGTGCAAGTTAAATGTGTGCAGGTGCACCGCTTGCACCTTTACAGGCCGTTTTCGATCTCACATTGAATACTTTTCTCATCTCTGGGCCGGGGCACCCCAGTGCTAACTTCTTCCGCTTGACCGCGTCCAGCGATGAGAATAATTACAAACTCACGAACTTATAAACTGTGACGAACTGGAGAAGAAGGATTGAGGACCGTAACGTAAGGGCAAGGGCCCTTTTCGTCAGACTAATAAGCCTCAGGTCGAGCAATAGTAGGTCGAGAATTGTGCGCAACGTCAGCATGGCGTTTGCTGGAACAAATATTAATTTGTCCCAGCCGAATATAACGCAAAAACTGACGGAGTTCATAGATGACCTGAACCAGAGAATAACTGCTTGGGGCAAGCTGATTTGGCGATATACCGAGAGGTCGACACGGTTCAACCAGAGTCGTCTCTTCCAGGGTGAACAGAAGAGGCTCCATAAATTATTGGAGCGGCCGATGGTACGTGGAACGAGCCCAACACCGAATCAGGCCGACACTGTCACATTCTGGCGCAGCCTGTGGTCAGAGCCCGTGAACCACAGCGTGGGCCCTTGGACGGAAGTTGTGGCGAGTCAGTGTGCGAACGTTACGCCCATGGACCCCGTCATCATAACGCCGGATGACGTAGCTGAAGCGGTTCGTGGGATCCCGAACTGGTTGAAGGGATTCGTGGTGTGTCACGCTGTGCTCGCCCGACAGTTTCAAGAGGTTCTCGACCAAAAGTCACTCCCGCGTCTCTTCTGGATCTGGACTGAGATCACTCACCTGGTTCCTAAAGACCGGGATTCCACAGACCGGAGCAAATACCGCCCCATTACGTGTTTACCCACCATATATAAGACACTGACATCCATTTTGAGTACGCGAATCAATCGTCAAAATGGATGTCGGGTCGATGGTCGTGGAACCAAGGAACCATTCCTCATTGACGCGGTCATTGGCAAGGTGGTTAAACGCAACCGTCGGAACCTCTCCGCCGCCTGGATAGACTACAAAAAGGCATTCGACTCGGTGCCTCATACATGGCTGAACAGGGTCCAGCCCTGGCTGGTCCAGCCCAGAACAGGCTGCGAAGTTGAAGAAAAAAGTAAGGTTGCTAACTTTGAGAGCATAGACTTATAAACCATCAACATAAAGACCCTATCCGAGGTTAAAACATACCGATACCTGAGTATGTCACAGAACATAAGTATCGATGAGGCGGACATGAAACAATTTGCAATGTGTTTTATGCACGCTTGACAAAAGTACTTAACAGTCTTTTGTCGGGGGTTAATAAGACACACGCATATAACGGTTGGATCATGCCTGTTCTCATGTATACCTTCGACATACTCAGGTGAACTCAGACCGAACTGAACACTCTGGATAGAAAATTCCGCACTATTATGACGTCCCACAGGATGCACCCTCCGAGATCGTCAGTAATGAGGCTGTACTTGCCGCGAAAAACATGATGGGCGCGGCTTTTTTAGCGACAGCCTCCGTAATAACTTCCTGACGAAATCGGATAATCCATTCTACAGGGACGTCATTTCGTGTGATAAAGGGCTAACCCCTCTATCCTTAACCAACGAGCAATGGTAAGACCCAGCAGTACAATGCATTTCCGACCGGGAGACCGTATGGAAGGAGAAAGAACTCCACAAGAGGTTTTACAAGGCTCTACACGAGCCTTTCGTAGACACAGTCGCCTCCCTCCACTGGCTACGTTTCAGTGACATCTTTGGGGAAACCGAGAGTTTTGTCTGTGCGATATAGGATCATGTAATTAAGACCAACAGTTATCGGAAATACATTCCAAAGGAAGGCGCCATCGATATCTGTCAAGCTTGTCGCCATCCCGGTGAGATACTTAGGCATGTTATCTCCGGTTGTTCGGCGCTTTCTTACTCTGAGTATTTGCGCAGACACAACCTAGTAGCCAGGATTCTACACCAGGAGCTCGCTCTGAAATACGGTCTCGTGGATCGGAAACTGCCATATAATAAGTACTTGCCGGAAGCCGTGCTCAAAAATGATCGTGCCAGGTTCTACTGGGACCGGGCCATCATCACAGACAGGACTATCCTTGCGAATAAGCCTGATATGGTGCTGATGGACCGGGCACAGTCAAGGATATTTTTGGTCGACATTACCATTCCTTATGACGAGACCCTCGTGAAAGCCGAAACAGATAAGCTGACAAAATATCTGGACCCGGCTCACGAGGTGACCGACATGTGGGGTGGTCTGCCGGCTGAAATTATTCTTGTAGTCGTAGGTTGTGTCGCGCTTTCTAACTCTGAGTATTTGCTATGCAAATACTCAGAGTTAGAAAGCGCCGAACAACCGAAGATGACATGCCTAAGTGACTCACCGGGATGGCGACAAGCTCGACAGATTTCGACGGGGCCTTTAGGATGTATTTCCGATAATTGTTGGTCTTAATAACCTGATCCTGTATTGCACAGACAAAACCCTCGGTTTCCTCAAAGCGGTCACCGAAAGCTAGCCAGTATATGGAGGCGACTGTGGCTACGAAATGTTCATGACGAGTCTTGTAGAACCTCCCGTGGAGCTCCTTCTCCTTTCATACGGTCTCCCGGTCGGAAATGATCTGTACTGCCGGGCCTTGCCATTGCTCGATGGCTGAGGATAGAGGGGTTAGCCCTTTATCACAAGAAATAACGTCCTTATAGTATGGATCATCTGCTCTCGTCAGAAAGTAATTACGGACGCTGCACACTTCGCGATTATGCATGGTAAGCGCACTTAAGAAGCCGCGCTCAACATGCTTCTGCGGAAAGTACAGCCTCATTACTGACAATCTCGGATGATGCATCCTGTGGGACGTCATAATAGAGCGGCCTTTTCTGTCCAGAGCGTTCAGTTCGGTCTGAGTCCACCTGAGTATGCCAAAGGTATACATGAGAACAGGCATGATCCAAACGTTATATGCTTGCGTCCTATTCACACCGGACAAAAGGCTATTAAGCACTTTGGTCAAGCGTGCATAAAACACATCGCAAACTGACCGTTTCATACCCGCCTCATCTACACCGAAGTCAGCCTCGGAAAGGGTCCTTATGTTGATGGGCATAGATAAGTCTATGCCCTCAGAGTTAGCAACCCTTCCCCTTTCAACATGGAGAACCGCACACTTATCCGTCCCGAGCCCCATTGTAATAGAATTACTAAAGTCACAAGTGATGTTTAGCAATTCCATAAGATGAGAGCGACTGGAGGCGAATAATTTGAGATCATCCATATAGAAAAGGTCACTTTTGTCCCTCCATTCCGAAGCTGAAATTCTCTCCCGGAGTCCTCCAGTAAGGTACTGAGAGGGTTCAGGGAGAGGCAAAACCAGATTGGACTCAAACAATCGCCCTGGAAGATACCCCTTCTTATCCTTATGCGGCTTTCCACATCCATCATCCGCTCGCCTAGATGACAAAGGATTGTACTCCACTGCCCCATACACTGCCCGAGGAAGTCTCTAACTAGTACAGTCAACCTTGTACAGCTCGCTGACCCTCTTTAGCCATGTGTGGGGCACCGAGTCGAATGCCTTTCTATAGTCTATCCAGGCGGTGGAGAAGTTCCGACGGTTGCATTTAACCACTTTGCCAATTACCGCGTCACTGAGGAGTGGTCCCTTGGTTCCACGACCAATGCCCCGGCATCCATTTTGAGCACGCGACATCACCTGATTTGAGTTCAGGTGACAAGTGATTCTCGCGCTCAAAATGGCTGTCAGTGTCTTATATATGGTGGGTAGACACGTAATGGGGCGGTATTTGCTCGGGTCTGTGGAATCCCGGTCTTTAGGAACCAAATGAGTGATCCCAGTAATGAAGAGGCTCGGAAGCGACTTTTGATAGAGAGCCGCTTGAAACTGTCGGGCGAGCACAGCGTGGCACAACACGAACCCCTTCAGTCAGTAGTGACGCAGTCCGTCAAGTCCCGGATTTTTCCAGTTCGGCGCCCTACGGACCGCATCAGCTACGTCATCCAGCGTTATGATGACGGGGTCCAAGGGCGTAACATTCGCACACTGACACGCCACTACTTCCGTCCAAGGGCCCTCGCTGTGGTTTACGGGCTCTGACCACAGGCCGTGCCAGAATGCAAGAGTGTCGGCCTGATTCGGTGCTGGGCCTGTTCCACGTACCATTGGCCGCTCCAATGATTCATAGAGCCTCTTCTGATCACTCTGGAAGAGACGATTCTGGTTGAACCGTGTCGACCTCTCGGTATATCACCGAATCCGCTTCCCCCATGCAGCGATTCTCTGCTTCAGATCGTCTATGCGCTCCGTCAGTTTTTGCGTTATATATTTGCTGGGACAAACTGATATTTGTCGCAGCAAACTCCATCCTGACGGTGCGCACAATTTTCGGCCTATTATTGCCCAACCTGAAGCTTATCTATATAACTGAAAGATTCACGGCGGCATCCACGTGTGCTGGTTACTCTGCAACTAGTGGCACTGTATCCTCAGCCGTAGCATTTTCATCCGATGACGGTACAGCCTCACGTCGTAGCTGTTCGAGTTGGGTGCTATCAAATATGTTTGAGCGCAAGATATACCGAAATCGGTCTGCCAGGTTTTGCTCGGTGACGGTTATACACGACTCCAGGCTCAGCAATAAGTCGATGCAACCTAGCTCGATACGCAAAACCTCCAATTTTTCCCCCTTTCGCCCAAAAATACGCCCGCAATGCGTTGGCTGTTCATCTGCATTGACCACCGCATGCGGCGTACTCCACCAGTAGCGGGTGCTTATTGTTGGGCCCGCGATGACCCTGCAATCACCAAGCCAGCTGGTGGGGATGATAGATGCGAGGGGCTGCTGGGTGGTTGTGCAGCACCTCGCGCTCGGCTAGGGGTTCACATGCTGTCGCGTCCAACGCCAGCTCCAGACGCGCCCTGGCGACCTCCAGGCAGCGGCCCTTTGCGCAATCTTCTTTTTTCCATCATCCATTTAATGCGCGTCAGTTAACGGGAGACGCTCAAACCCGGCACCGTTTCATGGTGAGGCCATGTGCACAAGCAGGCCTTTGCACCTTCAATTTTGCCAAGGCACGGCGCTAACACCTCTTGGCAAGGTGCTGACTGACTGCGCTGACGTAGCAGTTTTGTCACATAACCGTTACGTCAGCGGGCGATGGGGTCGTCACTTCCTTACGCTTTATATTATTATTATGATTTAAATTATTAGTTTTTCATAGTTATGAGTATTGTATGTTATGTAAATAAACAAATATGGGTTCATTTATACCGTGCCGTTTCTAACCCGCTGCACATAATGAAGTTAAATTGGCAGTTAACAGGCACCGTCTTAACAATATGTAATATTCTTGTTCTGGAGGAACAAGTCAAATTCTGAACAATCAAGGGCGTAAACATCACATACGAAACGAAACTCACTTTGTAAATACTTGGATAGCAAAAAAGGTACAAGTATTAATTTAAGGAGTATGCTAGGAATAAATCTGAATGACAGGGTGAGAAATTGTTTGATAAGATAAAAATGTGGTTTGCATGATGATATTGTGACCAGCTTTAAGAAAGGAATGAACGAGGAAAGCGTGACAAAACAAATTTATATTGCAGATGTGAACGGCAGAGTCAGGAAGGGATGCCCTAGACGAAGTTTTATCGACCAAATTGGCAATATATTGAAAATGGGTTAGATTAGGAGTACACTAATCGACGAGCCTATATGCGTATTTGAATGTAAAGGAGGCGGGAGAGGGAGAGGTGTGTCGGGAACGTGCCATATGGACAAACTCTCTGTAGTCTCTGCCTACCCCTTTGGATGACAGGCGGAAATGTTTATGTTTATGTTACATTCTGTTACACTGCTCAAAACTAATTCGTCATCATCATCATTACAGCCCTTCAGAAGTCCACTGCTGAACATAGGCCTCCCCCAAAGAATGCCGCAATGTACGGTCCCGAGCCACCTGCATCCATCGACTTCCTGCATGTCTTACCAGATCGTCACTCCATCTAGTGGAGGACGCCCTAGACTTCACCTGCCGGTACGAGGCTGCCACCCGAAAACCTTTCTTCCCCATCGGTTGTCGGTTCTTCGAGCTATACGGCTGGCCTATTGCCACTTCAGCATACCTAC